CACACACACACACACACACACACACACACACACACACACACACATCCTGTCTTAACTGCTTTATTAGTGGAGAGCCAAACAGCATAAATTGGTTTAACACAAAATGACAAGTTGTAAATCAACACTCTCCGCCCAATTGAACACAAAACATAATCATTTTTTAAAGCTTCTTTGTTTTCCCAAGATGAGATTGTGCTAAAGATTCCAGCCTGCAGAAAAATAAAATCCTCCTTATGTGAGATGCAAATGCTGCCCACCGCAGACGATCTCCATCCTGCTCGGCTCCCACCAACAACAAGGACTGTGAACTGTCAACACATCCATCTCCATTCATTTGGTTTTATGCCACTTTTTCTGCGATGAAGCAAGGATGCCGTTTTCTTTTTTTTTAAATAAGGCAACTGTTTCTGAGCTGGTCTAAAACAAGAGCAGGAAGAATTTTACATTCTGTTGACTCTTTCCTACACAGAATTGATTTCCTACAATAGCATGTCATGTAATCTAGCAGAGATGCATCTAGTTCCCCTCCCCCCATATCAGATTACACTGACACCTTCATCCAGGCTCTTATTATATCACAAAGAGAGGTAGGGTTTAACATGACATTAGAATAGGTTTTGTCTTGTCTAATCACAAACAGCTGATTATTATCACCCGTGAAATCGTGAAAGGATGACAATGTTTTTGCTCATGTCTGCGTGTTAATTTGTCTGAGCAAAATATCTCTACATATCTGTACAACACATTTTTGGAGTCGGTCTTGTCTGTTCGAAATATATCATGAACCACAGAGACGCCCATGAAAACTTCAACACAAAAATGGCTATGACTCAGACAATTGAGGTATAAAAAAATAAGTAAGAGTAAAAATAACTCAACAGAAAATTACTTTAAAAATTAGTGTTACTGATAAGAAAAATACTTAAGCAAAAGCATTAAAACAGCTCACAATAATTGGGAAAATAAAGAAATGAGGTGTTGGATTTACGTAACCAAATTGGTTCAACTGAACCAAGTTGAATAAACTGAACAATTTACACTTTTTTTTAAAAAGAAAATGTGTAAACTGCTTTACATTTACTCAGTGGAGTGGAACCATCTTGCCTAAGTACATTCAACACTTTATTTTGTATAAACAACTCTTTTCACGGTGAATTAAAACACGTTTGTAATGTGTAAGGTGTTAAATTTTCAAGTAAAGAAGCAACATTTTTATGTGTTGCAGTAAATGTAAGTAAAGTAAATGTTCTTTACACTGTAAATTTAACAGATATTGAGCTAAAATTTGATTTTGTAGCAGCTCTGCATGATGTCTTGTAATTTTACGTTAGTGTGAATGATTTTATTTTTAAGGTTTGACTAAAACGGCTACAACCTTGTCATTTGTAGGATGAGCTTGGTTTGAAAGTGTTCTTTAATCATGTTAAGATTTATAACATGTTCAGATAACTTTTTAAGGTCTTTGAAGCACAAATTAAGAGCGCTGCATTTCGTTTTGTTTTTATAGTGGGGAGTTCTAAACAGTGAATTTGGTTGGAAAAATTGTTTCAATATTTAATTGGTTTAAATTTATAGATGAAGCTGTTTTCTTTTCTTTTTGTTGTCTTTTTTCAGCATCTGGCTGTGGGAAATTTTTAACATTGTTATAATGTAAGAAAGAGTATTTTATAAGAAAGAAAAAAACATTTGAAAGAAAACGTGACACGTTAAAGGGAAACCCTCTCTTTTTCATCCCCTGATGAGGGTGGGACACAGGTGTGCTCAGGGGTCCTCCTGGCCTTCCCCAGTGATCAGCCCAGGGTCGAGCTGGAGGAGCTTAGGCACGTGCTGAGGGAGGGAGGGCTGTTCCCTCCTGCAGCCTAACCCCCTCTCCCTTCTTTCTCTCAGAAAACTCCGTATTCGCACCACCAGATGGTGGCTGGATCTGAGTTTTAATGAATGTTATCCTTCATGACCCTTCAGAGGCAGCCAAACAGCAGTGTCCCCCCCGCAGCCCCTCCCTCAGCACATCTCACTGCAGCTTGTTACCCACCACCACCACCCACCCCTGAGGCTGGCAGAGAAACAATACCACACTGAGTGGAATATAAATCAAAGGAGGGATGGAAATACAGTGTGCTGAAGTTGTAATTGAACAATAAAATGTGCATTCCCCTGTTAGGAGGCAAAAACATTAAAACACCCAACACTTTTCATAAAAGCAGATTTAAATCTTATTCCAGAAGAGCAAATAAAGGCACAGTATCAGCTAATGATTGTTATTCTTTATCTGTCGGCATGTGTGAATCAGGGCAGAGCTCTAAAATTGTCGTCTTGCAGTTTTTTATAAAGTCAGTCTGTAACACATCTGAGTCATCACTGCTACCCTGTTGGTTTTGTGTAAAGCTGTGAACAAAGTGAAAACCAGAGCCGCAAGCTCCGTTGCTTATTCGTGGTGTCAATTTATAATAATTTGATTTTGCAGAATTCTGTTACAGAATAAATTTGGATGCAACAAATCAGGTTAGGGCCCTCATTCCTCATGGCTGGATCTCATCCAGCCTGACGCATATGTTTTTTATTGGTTGGGAATAAATTGGTTGTGTACAAGCTGCCCTTTGTTCAGTGACCCTCGTCTGTCTCTACGTGGATTGCTTTCACGGTGCGTTCAACGAGCCATAGCAGTGTTGGTGTTTCCCACACACACACACACACACACACACACACACACACACACACACACACACACACAC